ATTTTCATTACCTTGCTTTAATGCCCATTGCCCTTTATTGTGTTTTCGATTACCATACCTTTGCTACTGTTGTATCAACAACAATTACCATTCTGGTTGTTACCTTTCTATCTATATTACTTTTCATTCTTATCAGTACTGCAGCATCATACACTATCTCGTTATCATAGTACCGCTACCACTGTCCTTTCCATACTCTACAACGTACAGTCCCTTCTAATACCTAATCAATGATTGTACAAATTAGAGTAATATCCGTAAGAATAATGGTGCTTAGATTTCCCTGTGCCTGTTTATTTTAGATTCATTGTGCTTTGCTCTGGTCACCTGCAGAACACAGTCAATGAAACTGCTGTTTTTGCTTTGCTTCTTGTCTGTAGGCCCCGGGAGACAGCTTGTCTTTCGATGGGCATATTACGCTGCAGCCACTAGTTCTCCGTAAGTTTTTATTTTCTTTGCATTCCAAGTGTCCTTGTTTCTATTGTTGTTTATTTTTTTTTCTCTCCGCGGTGTAATTATCCACACAAACACACAAACACACACACACACCACGTGTGTGTGTGTGTATACGCTGATGTGGTTTATAAAATATGTAAACATGTTATATGTATATATTATATATGGTATTATATGTATATGATAATAATATATATATATCTATATATCTAATATATATATATATATATATATATATATATCTATCTAGGATTAGGGAGTCATCTGTAAGCTGAGGATGTCAAGCTGCAGTATATATGATATCCCTGCGAACCTGCTAAAGGCTGGGGAAATAGAAACCACCTACTAAGGCACCGTAGACCGAAGCAGTCTGGATTCATTCCTTTGGCAGTCAAGAGTCACCCAGCTCGCTTTGCTGACAATATCTGAGTCCAGTCTCTGGAATCACTGGTGATGGCTTGATGCATTCATACAATTGAGGCGAAGCCGTTAGGTCTAGAGGTCCTCTGACCAAGACACCAGATCCAGGATTTTTCAGTCAATCCATGCTTGCGATAAGAAACGTTGAAGGTCCAGAGAGCTTTATGTGCTTATTAGTGTTGCCATATCTCTTGCTGTTGACAAGGAAGTCGTAGAAAAACGAATTTGGGTCTGGCAACAGGAGCCAGGAACCAGTCAACAGAATATGGTGGAGGTTACTACTATGGCAGAAGGACCAAGCTCCATGCTTTAAAAAGGCCTTGATACTGCCAGCTTCTCTATGGGAGTGAAACCTGACGTTTAATCATCGTGCCTGAGTCTTGATAGAGGATCTGTATGTTTGTATATGTACAACTTGTAAGTTTCCAGAATACACTTGAATGATGGAACATCCTCCGCCTCTTCACAGGGTTTGTTGTGTAAAACGTCAGCATAATGACTCGGAATGCAAAACGTGCTTGCGGAATCGCTGTGTCCTCAGCAACCTATCGAAGCACTGCGGTGGTTTGTCTAGAGGATATCCAGGTGAGATTAACTCTTAACCTGTTTCCTTATCCTTTTATTGATTTTCGAATAATATTTTTGGGGGAATTTCAACCTACAATGGATAAAATTTGACTTTTTAGTCATTTTAATTTTTTTTTATTCTGATTAAGGCTGGCGACAAGAAGGATACTGAACCTTGGGATAAATTTCGACTTGCATGGCGGCGGCAATGTTCAGCGGTAAGTCACGAGTGGAGTGAGTGAGTGTGATTCAGAGTCAGAGTCAGGAGTCCGAGTCAGAGTCCAGAGTCAAGTCAGAGTGTAGTGAGATGTGATGAGAGTGAGAGTCAAGTTTATAGTGGAGTGAGAGTGTGAGTGAGAGTGTGGAGTGTGAGTGAGAGTGAGAGTGGTGAGTGTGAGTGTGAGTGAGAGTGTGTTGTGAGTGAGTGGGGGGGGAGAGAGTGAGTGAGTAATCGTGAGTGAGTGAGGGGGGAGAAGGAAAGGAGGAAGGTGAGGGAGGGAGGGAAAGGGGAGGAGATAATAGAGGGAGGGAATGTGTGTGTGTGTGTGTGTGTGTGTGTGTGTGTGTGTGTGTGGTGTGTGTGTGTGTGGTGGTGGGTGGGGTGTGTGTGTGTGTGTGTGTGTGCGTGTGTGTGGTGGTGTGTGTGTGTGCGCGGCGCGTGGTGGTGCGTGTGTGTGTGTTAGTTTAGAATAGAGAACAAAAAATATTGTAAAACTGACAACGTTTTTATTGATGTTAGCTAATACAAGGCTGTACAAAACGGTTATTTTTTTTTAATATTTAATTTTCTATTCCCACAGTCTTTGAAACTGAATGAAAATGAACAAAAAATGATAGGACAACATCACAGACACAGATAGATGGATAACCAACAGACAACATACAGACCGACAGAGAACAGAGAGAGAACAAAGAAAGAAAAAGAGAGAGAAAAAAAGACAAAGACAACCAGAACAGATCAACGAGCCATAGACACAAAAACCAGAACCAGAGACTCGACAAGACAAAAACAGAAAGACGAAACAAAGACATAAACAGAGACACAGACATAAAGACAAAAACAGAAAGAGAAACACACACAGGAGACAAAAGACAGAAAGATAGAGAACGAAACAAATAAACAAACAAACACACAACAAAACGAACAAAAAGCCTTGACAATGACCTTACCTCTCTTCTTCCGTTCCAGTTTGGGTTCCTGCTTCAACGAAAGGTATGACGAAACTCACCATTTTTTCCCATCCTTCCGCTGGAATGAACCGTGACGCAGTCCGAAAATAAATAACAGTGTAAACCCATTTATTTCCTTCGTGATTTCACTCTCCCTTCAAATAAAATTGTTGCGTGGCGTATTTGTTTTGTTTTAAACCCAATTTCTCCTTTCATCTTCTTATATATATTGTATTGTACACGTATACATATACAGTGGGGGGTTTTTTGTTTGTTTTTTTCTATACATATATAGTGTTTCTGTTTTTTCCAACATCTATACATGATACATTTTTTTTTCTTTTTTTCCAACACTATACATATCGTTTTTTTCTTTTTCCAACTCTATGCTATCAATTTTTTTTTCTTTTTTTCCAACATCTATACTATACATTTTTTTTTCTTTTTCTCCAAGATCATACATTACAGTTTTTTTTCTTTTTTTTCCAAGATCCATACATAATACAGTTTTTTTTTTTCTTTTTCCCCATCTATACTATACGTTTTTTTGTTTCTTTCCTTCTTTTCTTCTAAAATTAAATGGTACTCACGTGACGGTTGTCCTCGCGATCGTGAATCCGGTCTGACAAGACACGTTTCTTCCGCCGAAGTGACAGGCGTGGGAACCACTCCTTGTCCCTCGCACTCGATGTCTGACACTCGAATTCTTCTGTCGGTGAAAAAAAGAGGGAGTTTTGGTGGGGTACATTTTTCCTCGTTGGTGGAAGAGAGGGGAGGATTTTTTCTATTTTTTGGGGTGATTTTGGTTTGATTTATTATCAAAATCTTCCTTTTGTTTATGATCCTGATTATTATTTAAAAGCCTTCTCCCCGATTATTCCCCCCCCCCCCAAAAAAATTCAAAATCCTTTTGGCTGCGATCTGCTTATCAATTTAACCACTGAGACGAGACTCCTTTAGGAAGACACCCATCCATAGCCCTAAATAAAGACCCCTGTCTTCCGGCCCTAAAACTAACAATACAGGAGGAACAGAGGACCCTACCGAGCGTACTTACACATCACCATGTAACCTGCTGGTGTCCCGTCGCACACGTGGCTCCAGGGAATACACTGGCGGACGAGCACGTTGAATTCCTCAGTGCGCAAGTGTTTCGCAGTGCGTTCTCGTCCTCTCCGTTGGGCAGTCCGTTGTGCCCATCCAAACTGCCACCCCCCCCTTCCGGAAAAAGAGACTCATCTGTAGGGCAAGTAGAGGTGGCCTTCGGGGCACTCTTTGGCTCTAAGGGGGGGAGGGGGGAGATAGTTTATTTTAGTACACGTCGTGGGGAAGTCTGGTTGAAGGGAGGTCTGGGGGCACTGTTTCGATTACTGTGACTCCCCGAGTGACTTTCATCGGGAGCAGAAGATGGTTTTATCATTTTGCTTTTTTCTGTGTGTTTCCTCTATGTATATATATGTATGGATATATGTTTATAGGTGTTGTGTGTGTGGTGTGTGTGTATGTATATATATATAATATATATA